GTTTCCAACCTTTCAATAATCGGAAAGTTTTAAAAACATGAAAAGAGGCACTGTTTTCTTGCTATGCAGAGTAGGATGAATAAAAGGAACTCGGTCCTTCCCCCCGCTAATGCAGCAGCACCTCGATAGCGCTTCCAAGTGGAAACAACAGTTTAAAAAAACTTTAAAACTGCCAAAAAAAACTAGGTAGGATCGCAAATCGACGATGTTGGGTTGAAAAATCGAAGTTTTTGTAGCTATGCAGAACTTTTTTTGCCTTTTGTTACGCTTGGGAATAGTAAAAAACAGTCACTAACTTAATTAGCAAAAGCGGATTCTATGGAATCTGGACCCCCCCCCGCTAACAGTCCAGATTCGAAAACCTTGTTGTTTTTCTCTTGCGGTCTGACGCTGACCGGAAGCCCTGGGTTATCCTAACCCCCCAAAACCCACCAGAATCACCCTAAAACCCCCAAACCCCAAGCAAAAAATATCTGGGCTGATGCGCGAAGATAGCGGGCAGAAAGAATTGCGATGGCTCGGGGGCGAAGCGGGGACTGCCAGTCGGGCGCTTCCTCCCTCCACAGGAGAAACGGGTTTTGACCCTAGTGGCGGGGAGGAAGAGACTGGATTACTCCAAAATCCCGCCGCCTCCGGCCTCTTACTGTCTCCTCCACGATCCTCAAAATCTCTGGTGCGAAATGGGGATCGGGGGAGGAGCAAGGAGGTCGAAGAATGGTTGGCGGGTGATCAATGTTTTTCGTTGCCATAAATCGAATCAAGGAAAGGTAGGCAGGTCTATTTCCAGAAAAACCACAACGATACTTGTATCCTGAAAGTAAAGAAGCCCGCAAGGTTGTAGTAATATATGATACCTATCAACTATAATAAAAAAGTAGTGGTGTCTGTGTGTGTGTCTGTCTGTCCGGTCCCGGATTCAACTCGAAGGGGAAAGGAGCTAGAGCTTAGCTCTCTTCGGATTCGGATAGAGCGTGGTCAGAAACCCCAAAACTGATAAAAAAATTATGAAAAAGTTTTAATTTAAATTATTAAAATTAACTTTGAAAGTTTTTTCCTTAGTAAAAGGAGTGGGGGACGGAGGTTGGGGTGATTTTGGGACATAGTGAGCCAGGTGGCGCGCTTCGTGGATGAAAATTTTCACGGGGGATTTCATTTCTTTTTCTGGGAGGATGACAGAAGCGCCAAAGCAAAAGCGCCAACGACAAAAGCGCCCATGCAGAAGCGCCAAACGAAAAGCGCCCAATGCCAAAAAGCGCCCAATGCCAAAAAGCGCCCAATGCCAGAAAGCGCCCAATGCCAAAAAGCGCTCTATGGGGAAAGCCAACGTATGGAGAGAGGAAACAATTACATAAAATGGCTTTTTTCAAGCTTTGTATGCCTTTTAAACGTTGTTTAGCGATAGGTAGGCTTTGTAGATGGCAAATTATCACCCCGAGCGGGTAGTTTTGGCCTTATTGGGTCTTTTTGGCTTGAATTGCCGTGTTTCAGTCCGTAGTTTCACCGGGTTTACCTCATGTTCTCACGATTTCTGATGTTTTCAGTCACAATACTGTTGCAAGCACGAAATACTTGTTATAAAATAGTGTTTGGAGGCCAGAACGACGAGAAAAACGCCGTATTTCCGGGTAATGGATCCGAAAATGGCTCTGGAAGAGATTTCCACGGCGAGTTTATACCTTTCTCACATTAGAAATGCATTTTCGGACCGGTTCCAGCATGTAGAGATCAAGAAACTACTTCAAAAATAGTGGAAAAGCTGTTTTAGAAGAGAACTAGCTATTCGAGTGAAAGAATGCCCTAGGAGGCGAAAATAACTTGACCCAGTCGGTAATTTATGGCCTAGTGGGTCGAACTGCCGCTAAACTACAAGAATAACACCAGAAAACCTATTAAAACAACTATTTTATCTCTACTTTATGTAATTGTTTCCTCTCTCCATACGTTGGCTTTCCCCATAGAGCGCTTTTTGGCATTGGGCGCTTTCTGGCATTGGGCGCTTTTTGGCATTGGGCGCTTTTCGTTTGGCGCTTCTGCATGGGCGCTTTTGTCGTTGGCGCTTTTGCTTTGGCGCTTCTGTCATCCTCCCCTTTTTCTCTCTCATTCCATCCGGTCGGTCGTTATTTTCGTTTTTAAAAGGATTTCGGCTAGGGGAGGTATCTAAAGCCATCAGGGATGTATTTAGGTAGTTTTTGAAGGGGATTTCAGCCATGGGGGGTATCTGAAGCCATCGGGAAGGTATTTAGGTAGTTTTTGAAGGCGATTTCGGCTATGGGGGTGTAGAATATGGAGGGTAGCCCGAAGGCCAGTCGATTACAGTCGCGAAGCGGCTGTAATCGGCTGGTCTATCAGTATTTTGGCCACTAAAAACCTTTTTTGTGAAAACCCATTATTTAAGTATAATAATGTGTTTTTTACTGTTCCTAAACGTAAAAACGTTGAATTTATGCTACAAAGATACAAAAAGGTAGATTTTCAACTAACATTTGAAAATGTCAAACCTTTTCTAGGCTTCTAATTACTTTTTCCGTCCAACTAAGTTAACCTTAATCGAACAATACTTTATATATAAAGCTTAAATTTTAAATAGTCCATTTAAAAAACTAAAATACTTACGAATGCTAGGCTTAGTAAAAAGCTCATTGTCCCCCCCCCCCCCTTTATAAAAACTGATGCAAGGAAATTATAAGGGACAAGCTGCTGATCTGCCCTGGTACGACATGGAATTCTAAGGATGTCTTGGATTGAGCAGAACGAGGAGTTTTTTGCGCCCGCTAATCGAATAGCTAAAAATCAACATGTCAGTCTCCCGCCACCATGCTTCCAGCCCGAAAAGAGCCATACCCCCATCGATATATACCCGTTTTCGCTATCCAATGCCGTGGCCGGGATCGAAATAGTTTTCGCCCGCGGGGGCGGACTTTCTTAGGACAGGAAGGGGTTCTTCGGCCGAGGCGGTGAGCCGTTCTCTAGTCTTGATCCTCCTATAGATATGAGCCAAAAGGTCTGCTGGCCTGGATAGAAAAAAAGCAGCTCAAGCTCACAAAACCGAAACTTATACAAAAACCATCAAGAAAAAAAAATTTCCTTGAAAAATTCCGTAACTGTACTAATGCCTGTGTACGATCCATACAAATGACGTAATTGCGGATTATACGGAATGCTCCCGTCAGAATTTCTTTTTTGCACATCCTTTTCGAAATTTTTACAAATTTCCAAACTTGTTCAAACTATTATTATTTTGATTTTGATTAATTATTTGTTTAGGCTGTGATTGCGTAACGGCGTGCACTGAAATGAACCGCCAATTTAATCTAACGGTATCTGAATGTTTCTATTTTTTTTAAATTATTTTAGGATACTCGCCACTACCTTCGCAAGCGGTTTTGCTCGCAAAAGGACGAGCTCAACTCCGGCAAGACATACCTGGCCCTGAAGGAACACGAGAGGAGAGCCGTCGGTCGCAATTACGCGGCCTGCAAGGTTTCTTGCATTGTCATTTGGGAAACTATGTTTTTGGAATGTCGTGCCTCGGCTCGCTAAACCCGAAGTGGAGAAGTGCAAGCTGGAGCTGAAGGACGAATTCGTACGGAGTTGGTCCCCAAGCTGTGATTGGTGTTTTTAGAAAGTCTGCTACAAGCTCCGTCCTCCGGTTGCCAGGCTGCCCGAGCCTAGCAAAGCCTCCGCGAGCGATCTCGAGCAGGGCTATGACCCAAAGATGGTAACGGAAGCATGGTATTCATTCACTTCTTTCCAGTTGACGGACGATTATCTGCTGACGGCTTTGATGCAGGCGCCTCCTGTGCAGATGACGCCGATGAAGCCGGCTCCCAGCGCTTGTTCGACACCGAAAACCACGCGTGGGAGCCGTCAATGGCACGGTAGCGTCGGCAAGACTGTTCTGATGTACCGCAAGCGCGACAACCCGGCTTCCAAATTGATTCAGGAGGTAATTTGGCGTTTTTGGGTCTTTGTTCGCTCCGGGAAATAATAAACTTACTCATCAGCGACCATTATCTAAGATAGATAGAGGAGGCGTTTTAGGCTTTTTTACTGTTCTAAAACGATAAGACTACTAATTTTCTGGAGAAAATCGGAAATTCGCTCTTTCAACCATAATGTTAAGTTCGTCCAAATAGTTTTTCGACTTGGATATCGCTAATTTGCTAAAAAAGATTTTAGGTTCTCGGGAGGATATTACTGGGCGTATTGGATTCCCCTGGGAATCCTAAAAAATCGTCTGTTTAAATCATCGACCTTTTTATTTTTAGTCAGAGCCCGAGCGTGGCCAGCCGCTCTACGCCCGTCGCGGTATTCCCGTCAGCAGTTTGAAGATTTCGTCTAGCCCGAAGAAGAACTGGGCCCAGTACTCGCCGTACAATCTGCGTTCGGCCCAGCGCAACAGCCACCTCCAGCGCCTGAACACGGCCAGCCCGAGCAGCGTTGACTCACCGTCGGGAATGCTCGCTAAAAAACGTTGCCGAGGTATCATTTTAGCCAAAACGGAACGCTTCCTTTTAGTTCGCTCTACAGTCTCCCGTCACGACGCCGTCAATCCGCACTGGCAAGTCGGGCTCGGCCAACTTCTTTTTCGGAGACACTGCCGAACGCAACAGCAACCACTTGATTTAGTATGCAACCCCTTGCACCATGCATGTTTGTTAATGCATTTATTGTTGACCCTTATCACCCCCAACCCTTGCGCTTGGTTTTCTAAAGGAACTTGCCCATTAATTTCTCAACTTTTAATAGTTGTACAGAATTTTGTTACCCGCCCCCGTTATTCACCCAAATTTGTTGGAGAGCCAGTTGGCCAATAAAGTTATGCATTATCAGGGCTTGTGTTTGGGTGATGGCTGTGAATTACGCGTTGTTTTGCACCAGATGAGTGGTTTTCTAAACAACGATCCATTGAAATTTTTATTCACATTTCATAGGCGCCTCACAATTTCCACATAGCGTCTTTTACCAAATTAGGAAGATATTGAATGGAATTGGCTTTACGTGGAGGTGCCTGCAACATCAGCCACAATCGTCTCAGCAAGTTGATTCTCTGCCTCGATTTCGCTGAAAAATATTGCAGCTTCATCAGAAAAAATACCTAATCATCTCCAAAATTGTAAATCTCCATAAACGCGTCCTGGTTGTAGCAGCAAAAATGTGTAGTGTTGCTTCAAAGCTCTCAATTCCTGCTGCGCCGCTCGAGGACGGAAGGGTGGCTACACATAGAAAGAAGGATAAGCGTTGAGAATTGAAAAGGGAGGCCATCACCACATCTTCCTCCTTCTGCCAACAGCCTTTCAAGCAGCAACAGCGAAACCCGTTCATCTAAACCGAGACTAAAGCAAATGAGTGTAGACGAACGAATTAGATTCCAACGGCGTTGTTGGGGTCGACGAGAGCGCGGATCTGAAGAATGGGAACGTCCAGATATCGCATCCCAAAAATTTTACCTGGGCCTTGAGTTCTTGCGGAAACGCTGCGCTCGTGATGGCGATATCATTGGCGAGCTATAATCCTGGACTCTTCGAACAGGACTCTTCGGCACTAGAAGCTCGAGAACGTGAGGCAGATTGCTGCAAGAAAGAAATCATCCTGCAAAAAACCACACTAAACAAACTCAAAATCGATATCGTTGGAGATGATGATGAGCTTGTTCTTCAGGTTAACACGCATCATGTTTTCTAGATATTCCTTCCCGGCCACGTTGATGGATATCTAAAGAAATTATTGATTTGATGGAAAAATAGGAGCTACCGATAGGCTGCAGTGCAGATGGTCATCTGAAGGAATTTTTCGGCATACCCAGCGATCCGCATCATGTCAAAGAGAAGCACTTCCGGGATAGCAGCCTGCAAGTTTTCCGGATTGGATCAATCTAAACAGGCATTAGAAAATGCAGATAACTAACTCCCGACATATCCACGACAGGTGGCTGACTTTCACACCGCATCCGACTAGCCACGACGCGCCTCCCCGCGCCACAAGACACCACCCGCCGGAGGGGCCGATGGGCAACGCGACACGGCTCAGCGTGCACGGCCAGCCGACGCAGCGCCAACGGACACCAAATGCACCGGTACCCCCCTTGCGAGGGGCGACGGCTGAATGGTGCCCCGCTTCGTCAACGCTATCCGTTTCCGCTCCAGTGGTTTCACGTACTCTTGAACTCTCTCTTCAAAGTTCTTTGCAACTTTCCCTCACGGTACTTGTTTGCTATCGGTCTCGCAGCCATATTTAGCCTTAGATGAAGTTTACCACCCTCTTAAGGCTGCGTTCTCAGGCAACCCGACTCTAAGGAACCGGCGACCGCCACGCCCGCCACCCGTACAGGATTTGCACCCTCTTCGATCTGTGGCCCCGCTCAAAGGGACTTCGGGTGGTGGAACGCGTCGGAAACCGACACCTATACGTCACATTTCCCAGCGACCATGGGCCGAGGGATTCGACGCTGGGCTTTTCCCCTTTCACTCGCCGTTACTGGGGGAATCTTCGTTAATTCCTTTTCCTCCGCTTAGTAATATGCTTAAGTTCAGCGGGTAATCACGACTGATCTGAGGTCTCTATTCGTTGGCACTTGGCGCGACGCCCGCGCTCGAACGTGACGATGAATATGAGAATATTATGCATCGCTCGAATCGGGCAAGCCGCAGTAAGCGTCAATGGCGATGTGCTGCTGCTGCTGCTGCTGCCGCAACACATCATCGTTCGCCACGAGTCGAGCCAGCCACCAATGCAGGCGGCCAACACGAGCTCCCAGTAATCGCTGGAGCTGACTGCTCCAGGCAAAGTACATGTTTGCGGCCCTCAGACAGACGTGCCGACGGGAAAACCCGCCGGCGCAATTTGCGTTCGAAATTTCGATGCTCAATGTGTTTGCAATTCGCATCAATTAACGCAGCTGGCTGCGTTCTTCATCGATCTGCGAGCCGAGTGATCCACCACTGAAGATGATCTGTTTCGTTTCGTTTGAGTTACGGTTGGTTCGATTCGATTCGTTATGAATTGTGTGCGACTGGTGGAGCCGGAGCGTGGCAATCTCATTAAGTCTTCGCTGCTCACGAAGAGCCGCGTCAGCCATCCAGAGGCGACGGATGGAGCAGACGCCAGTCGCGGGTTAGTTTGCCGGAGAATTGGTGTGTGGCTCTCGGCAGACCACATCGAATATTGTGTGTGTGTGTCGTTACAGATCGGTATTGATCCACCGGCAGGTTCACCTACCGGTACCTTGTTACGACTTTTACCCGGTTCAAACCGTCGCGATCAAGCCAGTTCATCAACCGCAGACACGAGGCCTGTGGCCAATTCCCTGGATTTCTCGAAACGGTTCAGTCCGGGTAGCGACGGGCGGTGTGTACAAATCGCAGGGACGTATTAAGAGCGAGATGATGACTCACACTTACTAGGAATTCCTCGTTTAAGGGAAATAGTTGCAATTCCCTATCCCGATCACGGAGTCCTTTCAACGGTTTACCAGTGACCCTTCGGCCATGGAACACGTTGCAGACTCCAGTGTAGCACGCGTGCAGCCCCGGACATCTAAGGGCATCACAGACCTGTTATTGCGTGATTTCGTGCGGCTCTATACCGCCGATTCCTCTAAGAACACCGACCGGCAAAGTTACCGGCGATGTATTAAGTAGGCTCACGTCTCGCTCGTTATCGGAATAAACCAGACAAATCGCTCCACCAACTAAGAACGGCCATGCACCACCAACCACCGAATCAAGAAAGAGCTTTCAGTCTGTCAATCCTTACAGTGTCCGGGCCGGGTGAGTTTTCCCGTGTTGAGTCAAATTAAGCCGCAGGCTCCACTCCTGGTGGTGCGATTCCGTCAATTCCTTTGAGTTTCAGCTTTGCAACCATACTACCCCCGGAACCGGAAGTCTTTCGTTTCCGGGAAGCTCCCCGGCGAGGCAATAATACCACCGCCGGATCGCTAGATGGTATCGTTTACGGTCAGAACTACGGCGGTATCTAATCGCCTTCGAACCTCTGACTTTCGTTCTTGATTAACGAAGACATTCTTGGCAAATGCTTTCGCTGTAGGTCGTCTCGCTACGGTCCATGAATTTCACCTCTCGCGTAGCGATACGTATGCCCCCGTTGGTCCCTCTTAATCATTAATCCAATTCCGAAACCAACAGTAAGGAACCGAAGTCCTTTTCCATTATTCCATGCAAAAACATTCAAGCGAAACGCCTGTTTTGAGCACTCTGATTTCTTCAGAGTAACTCTCGCCGACGTGAGCCGACGAAATTAACCCTGGAGCACGGTACCACACAGAGGTGGACCGGCCCCGCGGGCTCAGATCCAACTACGAGCTTTTTAACCGCAGCAATGATGTCATACATTTTGAGAGCTGGAATTACCGCGGCTGCTGGCACCAGACTTGCCCTCTCATTGATCCTCGTTAAAGGGTTTGAATTTTACCCATTTTCGATGACTGCTCCCATAGGGCAGTCTCGTTGTTGTTGTCACCTACCTCCTCGCATTGAGAGTGGGTAATTTGCGCGCCTGCTGCCTTCCTTAGATGTGGTTGCCGTTCCAGGCATCCTCTCCGGAGTCAAACCCTGATCCTCCGTTACCCGTTATCACCATGGTAGCCAACTAAACTACCATCAAAGTTGATAGGGCAGTTGATTGCGTGGATTGCCGCCGCTTGCGCATGCGGTCTGCGAGTTGTTCAGAATCATCACCGAAACAACCGTTGCCGGTGGTTGGGAATCTAATAAATGGTGCCGAAGCACTGCGACCGTATTAGCTCCAGAATTACTAGAAGTATCCATTGAGAAGGATTTCACGCAATTTCAACTGTTGTAATGAGCCGTTCACAGTACCACCAGAGCGAGGGTGGGAACTTAGATATGCATGGCTTAATCTTTAACATAAACATATCGACACTGGTAGGATCAACCAGGGATATCTATTCGCGACCAACAATAGCGCCTGGGGGCACTAGGGCTGGGGCGAGGGTCCGATTGTTCGCTATCCGCCACACTTCCCCCGCGGTGCCGGGGGCAGACGTTCATAGCCACAGCACCGAATCGCTCACGAGCGACACCTCTCATCTCATGTGTTGTACACGCCACGCAGTATTGTTGGAGCCATGGCGGAACAGCCCACAACGGGCGCTCACGTCTCCTCAACATTCCTGGCCGAATGCGTAGTGCCAATGCCAGCGGAGCCCTGCTGTTGCCCAAGGCTCAACACCGCATTTGCTCTACCCTTCGACGAAGAAAGGAGGCGTTGCACGACGCAGGCTACGCATAGTTGGCTCCCCGCCATGAATGAGCGGCGGACGGGTTGCTTCGCGATGCGCGAAGGAGTGCGATGTGACAGCTAAGCCAGTTAGCATCCCGGAATCAGCGTTTCAAGCCGATTCGAATGAGTCCAGAGCGAAATCCTGACGAGCTCGACTGGCGGACGCGAATTTTCGAATTATCAAAATTTTAAAAATATTTTTATGGCTTTGTAGCTCAAAAATTACTAAAAACACTACCAAAATACATAATATAGCATCCATAGGTAGGCATAGATAGAAAAACACAAGTGGTTCACCCCCTCTCGCTAACAGTCCAGAACCCAAAATGCCAAGGGTTCAGCACGAAATTTTACCATCAACTCTCCATCGCGCGATTTTGCCAGAAATATTGTAATATTCGTGAAAGTAGGAATAAAAAACGAACGCCCATCCTCGAAATAATAATACATAATTGCACACTAATTTTGATAATATAAAAGACGAAGCGGACTGTGTTCTTAGGCACACAGATCTTTGACGGAAGGCTGATTTTTCTAGATTAGAAGCAAGAAATTTGCAGGTGAAAATTATTGAAGAGGTATGGCCTTTAGTGGCCTCACAGAAAGACCGAGGCATTTGTCGCATTATAGCGAACATCGGCAGGTGATGATGGAAATGCGTTGAAGCTAAATAATTAAGTCGAATGTTCCGCGTCAAACCATTCATGGCCCAGAAACTAAAACACCCCCGGAACTAGAGTACAGTTTTGTATTCCTATTTAGTATTATTTTAGTATTCTTTTCGAAAAGCAGGTTCTTTAGGATTCGGGGGAATCAATTTTTTTCGGCCCAAGCTTGAAATTTTTTATAAATAGCTGATGCGTTTCTAAATTGTTTTGAGCTATTCCTAACCCTAAAAACTATAAAAATTTTAATTAAAAAATTAATTTTAAGTCGAAAAATTGATTTTTTAAATTGTCGACTTCTTCTAAAATTCTTCTAATTTTTTTTGAGAGTTATTCTACTTTAAATATCGTTAAAACTTACTAAAAACAATGTAAAAACACTTTATATATGGTTAATAGGCCAAACCGGACCGCCAGGAAAAAAATTTCGCTGCCGGGGTTCGAACCCGGGCCTTGAGGACGTGAGGTGCGTACGCAACCATTTAACCATAAAGGGGATGTACTCTGTAGTCGGCGGCAATTTAACTGTATTTTCTTAATTATTCGTGCATTTTCACCTTTCTTTTTCTATGCGAAAAAACCTGTAGTCTAGCAAAGTAGCTCTGCCCGACATAATGACAAGAAAGGACTGGCACAGTGGAATAGAGAAGGAAAATAACTGAAGAACACCGGATAATCGGAAGGAACCATTCTCCTTCGATTACCAAACACACAAATATGGCTCAAATTAAAATAATGAAAGTTTAGCCAAAAACTAAAAATGAAGGCTAGTCGAGCAAAATTTGTTACCCTAAAATCCCGCGTCTAGTTCCGGGGAAAACGTACGTAGCGTCCGTAATTACGTATAACCGTAAAGAGGTGTGTTTCGTTTTTCGGCTTTTTGCAAATAACTCCGTTCAAGGAAGGTAATTTTTGCAATTTCGACGGCAGATTTGCTCAGATTTCGAGTATTTCCAACATTTTGAGGGTTTGATGAAAGAAATTGATATAGGAAATCCTAAGAACCACTTCTTTTGGCTTACAAAGCTTTTGCGGCGAAAGGACGGGAACGCACGTTATTCGAGCGTCATTTGCATTTGTGCGTCGCCAAAGCGTACCGGAACCATACTCGGGATTTTAGGGTATAACGCCATGTTTTCAATCGGGCTTGTTCTGGGCACTGGGAAAATTTTAAGTGAGGAAGAAGTTAGACGTAGAAAGGATAGTATTGGGATCAATTCAATACTAATGGGAAGTTTTTTGGGCATATTCTCAGATGAAAAGAAAGGAATAAAAGGGACCGGGAAATCGAAGGTGGTAGTTTACTTATATTTTATTTTACTTACCTTTTGAAAATGGTAGAGGGTCTGTACAGAACTGACCGGAAAATCAAAAACCGGTGAAATTACGCTTTTTCTGTGTGCATTCAGTCGACGCCGCTGAAAATCTCGGAATTCTCGATGGCGACGATCAGCTTCTGCTTGAGGTCGGCAAAGCTGGCGTACGGCGGCAGGTCGATGCGGTTGAAGCTGAAGAACTCCGTTTGACTTCAAAAAATTGACCTACCAAGTATGGGATCTGGGCAGCATATCCGGCGAGCCCCACCTTTCCACCGTGAATTTCTGGGGTCCATTTGAGCCGTAGAGCTCCCTGAAATAAATTCATGGTTTAGGCGCCTCTAAAAACCTCCTAAAAACCACTGCTAGCTTGCCTAATAGCCTTTCTATGACCCACCGGAACCCGTTCATCGGCACTCGACTCGTACCCGTCACAAATTGCAGCACTCGGGCCCTCATTTCATTGTCAAACGAGAGGATGCACTTCCAGAAATTGTGAATCACCTATAATTAAG